TCAAGTCGAGACTTGGCTGCCGCGCAGGCTGTTTTTGTGGAGCATAAAACACCCCTGTGACAATTGGTAAGCGGGGTAATTGGGAGTCCTCCAATGATGCCATGCTGCAGCTTGATCGCGGGGCTGGCAGATTTAGAGGCTGCAGTTTGCTTGTGCACAGCAAATAAGAGCAAATGTGCTGGGAGTAAATCTGAATGTGCCACTCTCCCTCAGCCTTGTAATCAACAACTGTGGAAGGAATCCTCCTACTGGTTTCACTTGCTAATAAGCCAATGATGTCCTCAAATGCCTATTTCAGCATTTTGTTATGTCAGTCATTTTTTGTTTGCATCAATTTTCTTGTATGATCATTTACTTCCTATGTAGTGCTAATTGTTATTTCAACTAAGCAAGCGAGCTTGCAAAATGAAAGGGCAGGTTCGTGAAGTAGTTGATATTACATTTGTACTCGTAGGTTATTAATATATATACTACCCTTTTCTATTTAATAAGCATCTTTCTAGACTTCCGTTTGACTACGATGGCTGGCAAGCCGAATTATACATTAGGAAAAAAATGAGAAATAAAATATAATATAACAAAGAAAATGAAGAAGAGAAATTTCTCTGGATAACTTGGAATGCGCAAGACTAGCTATCAGAAAAATAAATGTCTTTAAATCCCTAGAGATAATTAAAGTGTGCAGTTGTAATATTTTGGCAAAATTACTTACTTCCAGAAATATCATCTTTGTGATTTTTTGGTAGTAATTATTTGTAAGTCGATTCTTCTAAAGAAATGTGCAATATTAAGTATGAGCAGGTTCACTAGAAAAGTTAACTCTTCTTGGTAACTATCCAAGAGTTGAATGAAAAAGACTCATATTAACAATGCAGCAAAACCAAAAGCAAGGTTTACGATGTGGCTAATGATGCATCGAAGATTACTGACCTCTGATAGGTTGAGCAAATGAGACTAGATAAGATATGCAGTGTGTATTATGCCAACGACAGGAGGAAAAAAGGGAACACTTATTTGTGCAGTATGTGTATACAAGAGCTATATGGAGCAAATTGTTGCAATGGATAGAGCTACAGGGACTAGGATTCATGAACTGGACTGAGTATAGTCAATGGATCATCAAATGCTCTAGAGGAAAATCCCACCAAACACAGATTTTTAAGATAGTATATGCAGAGGCAATTCACTGGATTGAAAGGAATCTTATAATTTTTGAGCAAAGGAGCAGACAATGGGAGAACATTACAAAGGAGATAGCATATATTTGCGATGTTCGTGCATCACCTGGAATTATGTCCCTCTCACATAGTTTTAATTTTGAATGAATGAAAGATAAGTAGGAGTTGGGTCTGGAGCTAGCTTTGTTGGCTTAGCTATGGTTTTGTAACTATTTCATTGGTGATTAATAAAATTATGTTAGTTGCAAAAAAAAAAGTGCAGTTTTCATGGTATCGCTTGAGAAATTCCGAAACTCCAAAAAATGGAGGATGTTTGAAGTAGGCTATCTCGATTTGTCGAGTGACTTTAAGGAGAACTCGTAAAAGTTTCAAGTTTGAACAACAGTTACCTCCTGCTGGCTAGCTACTTTATTCGATCGATTAAAACAACTTCAAGTTGGATGGGTTAATGAATAAAGATTTCTTTGGTAGCTACATGCTAGTATACGTAATTTCTGCAATCATAGTGAATGACAGCATTAAAAGTCAGTCATCGAGTTTGATAGCAGAACTTTTTTTTATTTCCCCAAAATAACTATATTCTGACCTTTTCATTATTTTATATGATAAAGTTTAATTGGGTACGGACTTTAAGTAATAAACTCTTTTAAAAACTTGTTTTAAATATGCTTTTAAAGTATGTCATTTTATTGGCTGATGCAATATGAGATAAATGGATTGAACATCATTTTGTACACTTGAGTAAAAATATACATGTAAAAAACATTAGGTTCAAATTTTGAACACATAATTATAGGTGCAATGAATTCGGGGCTACCAAATAAAGTTTTAGTTTTAAGAGGTAGAGCTCATGATTGCACCAATTTTTTTCCTTTTGATCGCTTTACTTTTCTCTCTGTTCTTTTGTAAGCATGGTCCTTTTTCTATCAAGTCGGAAGACGTACAACATGAAGTTGTATTAATCAATCGAATAAAGTAGGTTATCAAGAGATTTTCCGGTAACAAAATAATTTTTTTCCTGAAGGTGAAAATATATTTTTAGAAAAAGTGAAATAATTATACGATTTAACTGTAACTGTCAATAAATAATTGCACATTTTAATTATCACAACGAGGTCTGCAAACAAATAGTTATGGACAACCATCTTAAGATCATAGAAACGTCAAACAAAACCCACAAATATGCTTATGAAACAGAGAATGATAGTACATATGTTAATAAACCTCCAAAGTACATATATAAAATCAAATGTGCTATTTAATTTTGCAAGTTCGCTTATTTAGAACTGTTAGCATAACACATTTGACAAAGTGATCGTAAAAAGAAATCCGGCAAAATGACTGACATAACAAAGGCAGAATGAGGTTTAATACAATTAATCGGGTACTTCCGCTTAGCAAGTGAAGCCAGTAGGAGGATTCCTTCCACAGTTGTTGAGAACAAGGCTAAGAGAGAGTGGCACATTCAGATTTATTCCCAGCACATTTGCCCTTATGGCTGTGCACAAGCAAACTGCC